CCCCCGTCGTCCACGCTGCACCGCCATGCCTGCCCGCCCCATTGCTCCTGAGGTGGCTTCATGGCCATATACGGCCACTGTCCTCCCCTACCCGTCCCTGCCGCGTCCTCTTTGTGTCTTTTTTTTTCTTGGTGTCTTTGGGTGTATGCAGTTGCTAGAGAGAGACAGAGAGAGTGAAAGAGAATGTGAGAAATCATCCTCCAGCAAAGGATGGCCACACTGCAATCCCTTCTCCTACCAGCATGATTCTCAAGTCACCCTGTCCAAGACTCGAACCATAGTTGGCCCTGTGGGAGTCCAGTGATGTAACCACTAGGCCATCTGCCGGCCCCTCACATTTCTTTTTCTTTTTTGGGGGGGAGAAAGGTTTTTGCAACAGGGCTCATGCGCTCACTAGAAAGAGCAGAGAGAGGGAGAGAGACAGAAAGTGAGAAGCCGCCCCACCCCAGGATGGTCTCCTCCATTGTCCTCTTGGGATCTTGGGCACACACACAAACCTGGCGTGAGTTTAAGCCTCCGGGTCTGGGACTTGAACCATGGTCGACTATATGGGAGTCCAGTGACAGCTATTACGCCAAATGCTGATTCGTTTATTATTATTATTTTTAAAAAATAATTGTTTAACTTTATCCATTTATTCATTTATTTTAATTTTATCAGAGAGGGACAGAGTGAGAGAGCGCGAGACAGTGAGAAAGCACGCTGCCAGGTCTGGGACTCGATTTGCGGTTGGCCATGTGGGAGTCCATTTTAATTTGACCAGAGAGGGACAGAGTGAAAGAGAGAAAGAAAGCACGCCGCCAGGTCTGGGATTTGAACCACGGTCTGCCATGTGGGAGTCCAGCGCCCTTAACCACCACACCACCTGCCTGCTCAAGAATTCAGTGCTCTCAACCACGATGCCACCTGCCAGCCTCTCTTTTTCATTTTTTAAAAAGAATGATTATTTTTTCACTTTATTATTTTTCCAATTAGATCAGAGAGAGAGAGGGAAAGTGCACCTGGGCTTGCGAGTCTGTCCCCTCTGATAGACATTCAGGTCATTTCCGGTTTCCTGCCGTGAACGCCAGGCAGTATTCCAGGGACACGGGCTCCTGCAGACAGAGCTTTGAAGTAGACTTCCTAGAGCAGACCCTGTGGGGTGTCCTCCACAGCTCCATGCCAGCACAGTGCCAACTGCCCATCCCCAGCTCCGCTGAACTGCGGTGTCCTCCGAGCAGGGCACTGTCCCCTGCTCGCCCAGTCAGGCTGGAGCCACGGTAGGCCCAGGTTTCTCATGCTTCCCAGGAAGCTGCAGCCAGAGCTCCCCCAGAGCTGCCTGTGGCTGCAGAGACCCCCAGGACCTGGCCAGACCCTTTGCCTGGGGAATGCAGCTTGCCCTCTGGGTGTCAGCCTCTCATTGTGGGGCCCACTTGTCACGTTCCGGGCCTCTGGGCATTTGGCTCCTTCTGGAAGGAGTCGGCCTGACCACGATTGCCTTAAGCCTTGCCTGCTGTCCTCCCAGCAGCATTGCCCACTGTTCCTGGCGGCAGCAGAGGAGTGGTAGGAGAGGGAGTCCCCCTGCCCCTGCTCGTACTCTGTGAGGCCGAGACCCTTCCCACAGTACTGGGAAGACAGACAGGGACCTGAGGGCAGAGCCTTTGGCGGCGAGCTGTGGGTGAGCTGTCGCCTGGTGGTGTCGGACACGGCGTGGTTTAGGGTAGGTGTGTCCCTGAGGTTCAGGGACAGCAGGGCTTGTGCCCAGAGCTCTGCACCTAGCCTCAGCCGCAGTGCACCCCAGACGTGTGCCCGTGCAGCACTCCAGTGAGAGTGTCAGCCTCGCACCCGCGGGCGGCAGGTCACACGCTTCTGGACACAAACTCACCGGGTCTCGCTGGCGGGTACGCAGTGTAGGTGTTGCTCTGCAGAGTGGCTCCACACGGTGCCCTCTTCCCAGAGCCAGGTGCCGGCCACTGCTGCAGATAAGCCCGGTGCTGGTGGTTGCGTGTTGCAGGAGTGGACCAAGGAGCCTGAGCATGGCGGGGCTGTGATGTCCCAGAACCAGATAGGGGCGGGCCCTTCCCTGGGGGTGCTGGGCCTCCCTGACACTGCCCACTGCCCTGCAGCCTGGCCTTGCCCAGCATGGTGAGCCGGGAGGTGGGAGGGCAGCATTCTCCACCTATAGCACCAGGCCTCTGCCTGTCTGCTGACTGTCAGGCCCTTCCCCTTCCCAAGAGGCAGGTGTGTGCACCCCACCTGGAAGTGGGGCACCTGGAAGTATGCCTACATCCATCTTCCCCCTCAGCGTCTCTGAGACCCTTCCCGTCCAGCCCCTGGTCTGTCCCTGCCTCTGGGGAGAAAGCGTGGCTTCTGCCCCTTGCAGGTCCTGGGCTCTGGTGCCGTGTGCTCGGGGGTGGTACGAGACACCCTGGTGGGAGTGGTTAATGGCCCTGGTCAGGTGGAGCTGATGGCAGGAACCCGTGGAGGAGGGCTGTGGCAGTGGAGATGGGGGACGCTTGGGCCTGTCCTTCCTGGAGCATCTGGGAGCCCCCATCCTAGGGCCAGCTGCAGTTTTGGGGCATGGCCCAGTGTGATATAGGCTTATGAGATAATGGGGAGGGGCTGGGCTGTGCCCCAGGGCCTGAGCCCACACTCCTGTGCAGCTGGCCTGGGCTCAGACCTGAGGACCACAGTAATGGACCTGATGATCCCTGCCTGACGTTCCAGGGAGGCTGGGGAGGACTTGTGGGCTGGGACAGGAGGGTGCCCAGGCTCTGTCCAGGGTTCCTGGTCCCCAGCAGCAGGAGGGCTGTGGCTTGGTGAGATTTGGCCAGGTGGAAGGTGGGCTTCCTCCTGGAAACCTCGGCCCCATTGTCACTGGCCCATCCCTCTGGGTCCCAGCATGCTTTGTTGTTTTGTCCCCTGAGGGGTGCCCTGCCGTGGGGCCTCGGGCTCCCTGGGCTCACCTTGGGCCAGTGGTGGGCTCTCAGGTGAGGCAAGAACCACCCCAGGGCACAAGGAGACCTGGAGCCCGCCAGGGCTGCCTGGAGGGAGGTGGGCCTGCCACAGGCCACGAGTCTGGTCTGCAGTCAGCCCTGCTCACCTTTCCTGTGCCTGGCAGGTCGGCTGCCCAGGCCTCTGAGTGTGTGCCCGCAGCACTCCACAGGGGACCAAAGCCGTGTCCCAGGAGTGCTGCTGTCAGGCTGTTTTCTCCAGGACGAGGGCACAGGGACTTCTCCCCTGTGGCAGGATGGACAGCCGGGCACTGCTGAGCCCCAGCCCTGCCCCTGCCGGAAGCTGGACCCAGCATGCTTTGCTATTGGCATCGGTCTGGCGTGGGTAGGGTCTGCCGCCCAGGTGGGCTTCCCTGGACTCCCTGACATGCTGGCAGCAGGGGTAGGTGGGAGGTCTCTGCTGAGCTGGCAGGCCTGGCTTCCCTTGTTCTCAGGCTGGCTCCTTCAGGGCCCGGGTCGACCCTTTGTCAGGTGAGGGCCTAGTGAGAGGTGGGGGCAGGACGTGGGGGCTGGGCGGCTGGTGCCTGTGGGGCCTCCGCCGGGAAAGTGCTTGACCTGGTAGAGAGCCAGCCAGGGCGGCCTGAGGCCCAGGTCCCAGTTAGGTTTGACCTGGCAGAGGGCTCACAGGTAAAGCTGAGGCCTCTGCAGGAGAGACCTGGCCCGGAGGAGAGGCCCCTTCTCAGCAGCTCAGGCATCCCTGGGACCCCTGCCTCCACAGCATGCAGGTGACCACAGGCCTGGTGAGGGGAGCTGGGGGTCCTGCTGGGCTCCTGTGGAGGCCCGTGGCCTGTGTTCTGTGAGGCACACCGGCTGGGCCGTCCAGAGCCGTCACCTGCCTGTCCACACAGCATGGACTTGTGCAGCCACAGCGTCACTGGCCTGAGCCCAGAAGCCCACGTGGGAGAGCCCACACTGGGCAGGAGAGGTTGGGGGCTTCCCCAGGCCCAGGAGCCCAGCCCTCCCCTCCACAGCCACTAGTAAGACAGGTCAGGCCAGGCCCCATCTATCCACGGAGTGTGGGAGGCCGTGTCACTCTCAGTGCCTCCAGGAGGGTGTGCACGCATGCCAGCCCTCAGGATGGCCCTGGGCGCTGGTTTCTGGCTAGGAGGGTTCCTGATCCCTGCCCCTCCTGTGACCCAGGACTCCTCCGTGTGTGCACACGTGTATGTGTGTGGTTCCCAGCAGGCAGGAGCTGTGTGTGTGTGTGTGTGTGTGTTTGTGTGTGGTTCCCCAGCAGGCAGGAGCCTGGTGTGTGTGTGTGTGTGTGTGTGTGTGTATGTGGTTCCCCAGCAGGCAGGAGCCTGGTGTGTGTGTGTGCGTGTGTATGTGTGTGGCTTCCAGCAGGCAGGAGCCGTGTGTGTGTGTGTGTGGTTCCAGCAGGCAGGAGCCTGGTGTGTGTGTGTTTGTGTGTGTGTGGTTACCCAGCAGGCAGGATCCTGGTGTCCCCGCCCACCCTGTGCCCCACCCTGTGCTCCACCCGGCCTCCCTCTCAGTAGCTTCCTCCTCCTTGCTCCCAGGTGCATGGCTGCTGGCCGGAAGAGGAGACTCCTCTGAGGACTGTGCCCAACGGGCCGCCCTGCACCCTTAGTGCCCTGGCTGCTGGAGAGCCTCACCGCAGCACTAGGGGCCAGGATGCCAGGCCTCTGACCCCTCACTCGTACTGATGCACTGACTGGGCAGCCGTGGGTGGATACAGCTGCCCTGGCCCCTCCCAGGCTCCTGAGGCCTGGAGGGTGTGCACAGGCTTTCAGGGCTCCCCCACAGATGGGCTGCCCCCCTTCCTTGTTGGCAAGGTGCCAGGAGGTGGAACCGTGTCGTCTGGGTAATTAGATTCAGACCCTGGACTGCGGCTGGCCAGGTCTCAGGACTGCCTCCTGCAGCCTGTGCACCCTGACCCGAGGGAGGGGAGGCGCAGCCTGGGCAGAGGCCCCTGCAGTTGCAGCTGGGCTCTGGGCCTGCCAGGGGCTCCAGCTGCTGTCGTGGGTCCCTCCCACGCTCCCTCCCTGTGGGGGTCGTACCCTTCAGGGCTGCCTGACCCACCCTTGCCAGGGCCAGAGGGCACCAAGCTTTGGGAAAGGGATGCCCCCGGGGTGTCAGTCCAGCCAGCTGCCCTGCCCCTCAGGCCTGGCCTGGCCCCCGAGCTCCCTACCCTGCTGCTCCGAGCGGCCCTGTGGCCAGGCAACCCCCACCATGGCCGAGCACCTGGAGCTGCTGGCGGAGATGCCCTTGGTGGGCAGGATGAGTGCCCAGGAGCGGCTCAAGCATGCCCAGAAGCGACGTGCCCAGCAGGTGAAGATGTGGGCCCAGGCCGAGAAGGGCTGCAGGGAGCAGCCACAGAAGGAGGTGACCTGCCGGGGGCCCCGGAAGCGGGTGCTCTTCCCTCCCTCCGTCACCCTGCTGGAGGCTGCTGCCCGGAATGACCTGGAGGAAGGTGGGTGTGGCTGAGCCCAGGGCCGCAGGTAGGTGGCCCTGTCTCCTCCATCTGGGTGTGGTGAGACTTGGGGTGGCTCTGGGCACCCCATCAGGCCAGCTCTCTGTGGCGCTCAGCCCTGAGAGTCTGTGCTGGGACTGCTGTGCAGAGGGTGCTGGGCAGAGGCCATCAGGGGACACTTGGCTCAGCTGAAGCAGGGCGGCAGCCTCCACTGAAGCCTTTGCCGGCACTGGCCGCTCTCCCGAGGCTGTGCGTCCCCAGGAATGAGAATGGTAGAGAGCTGGCCAGGCCCTGGAGCTCTGCGAGGCTGACCCCTGCTTCACCGTGGGCTCCATGCTTCCCACTGGGCCTCCCCCAGCACCAGGGAAGGCTAGGGCTCACCATGAGCTCCAACCTGAATTGTGCCCCTGCCTGTGGGCACAGCCCTGAGCTTAGGACAGGAGGGTTAAGGGGAGCTGGCATTGCCTGGCGCTGTCTGCTGTGTGATCTGGGGCTCTGGGACGGAGGACATGTGACCTGAAAGAACGTGGGGCTGGAGCCAGCCATCAGGGCAGAGGGCCCGCTGGTGGCACTGGGGCGTGGGCTCTGTGGAGCTGGGGGTTGTGGCCCACCCATCTCCTGCATCTGCATTCCAGGCTATGGTGGCCGAAGAGCAGGAGGCCTCTAACTGCAGGGAGGCTGGGCCCATCAGAGGCCGCTGGCACAGAGGGGACCTGCGGGGGTGTCTGAGGGCTGCCGCCGCCTCCTCACAGGCCCCTGCTGCCAGCCTTGGCACCCTCCTGACCCTACTCTGTCTCTTACAGTCCGCCAGTTTCTCGGGAGTGGGGTCAGCCCCGACCTGGCCAATGAAGACGGCCTAACAGCCCTGCACCAGGTCAGCCTGCAGGTGTGGGGCAGTGGGCACGGGCGTGGGGATGGGCACCTGGCACTCACTGCGGGGCTGCCCGCAGTGCTGCATAGACGACTTCCAGGACATGGTGCAGCTGCTCCTGGAGGCCGGGGCCACTGTCAATGCCTGCGACAGCGAGTGCTGGACACCTCTGCATGCTGCGGCCACCTGTGGCCACCTGCAGCTGGTGGAGCTGCTCATTGCTCGGTAGGTCCCCGGACACCTGTGCCAGGGCAGCTACCTTGCAGTCCACCTGGACCAGGTCCCGCGCTTGCCAACCCATATGTGCCCTGCACGGGCAGCACGGCTGGGAGCCGGGGAGAGTACACACCTGCAGGTGCCCTTCCAGGAGGCCTGTCCAGAGTGCTCAGTGGTCAGTGACGTGGCCGATGTGGTGGGGAGCAGATGGGCTTTTCACCTTCAGTGAGAAGGAGGGCATTGGCTTCCCCAGGCCCAGGAGCCCAGCCAGCCCTCCCCTCCACAGCTGTCAGTAGGACACAGGTCAGGCCAGGCCCCGTCTACCCGCGGAGTGGGGGCGGGGGGGCGTGTCATTCTCAGTGCCTCCAGGAGGGTATGCATGCATGCCAGCCCTCAGGATGGTCCTTGGCGCTGGTTTCTGGCTGGGGGGGGGTGGTTTCTGACCCCTGCTGCTCCTGTGTCCCAGGACCCCTCCACTCTCCTTTTCTCTGGGCCTGTCCCCCGAAGCCCTGCTGGGCTGCAGGGGCTACCCCGCAGTGGGGCCTGGCCTGCCCTCCCTCCCGTTGCTTCTGGGGTCCCATTAGTCCTTTCCCCACTCCCTCTCTGCAGATGGCCCCTACCCAGTGGGTGGCAGCAAGGGAGAGACAACGGCTGTCCTGTCTGGCTTGAGGACAGGGTCCAGGGTTAGGAGTGGCCAGACCCTCTGCTCACCACATAGGAGGGACAGCTCGAACTAGGGCCTCAACAGAGGGCAGCCCACAAGGCCCAAGGCCTGGGCCAGTGGGAGCCTAGTGTGTGAGGGTCTGGCCAGATACTCCATGGCTCTCCTTGCAGGGGTGCTGACCTCTTGGCCGTCAACTCAGACGGGAACATGCCCTATGACCTGTGCGAGGACGAGCAGACGCTGGACTGCCTTGAGACCGCCATGGCCAACCGTGGTGAGAACCGATGCTGGGGGAGGGGTGGGCCAACCGCACAATCTCTGAACCTCGTGCCGCGCAGGCATCACCCAGGCCGGCATCGAGGAGGCCCGGGCGGTACCCGAGCTGCGCATGTTGGCGGATATCCGCAGCCTGCTGCGGGCGGGTGCAGACCTGGACGCCCCGCTGGACCACAAGGCCACGCTGGTGAGCAGGCAGGGAGGCCAGGGCTGGGGCGCCGGGGTCAGGCGGGGACTGAGGCCGGGCCTGCCTGCAGCTCCACATCGCCGCCGCCCACGGCTTCGGTGAGGCAGCCGCATTGCTGCTGGAGCACGGAGCCAGCCTGAGTGCCCGCGACCAGGACGGGTGGGCACCGCTGCACGCCGCGGCCTACTGGGGCCAGGTGAGTGGGCGGGCGGGCAGGTGAGGGGGGTGCGGGCTCGGCGCCCTGAGCCTTCAGCAGCTCCGCCCGCAGGCGCACCTGGTGGAGCTGCTCGTGGCTCACGGCGCCGACATGGAAGGCAAGTCCCTGATGGAAGAGACGCCCCTCGGTGAGTTCGGACCCAGCACGCCCTGCGAGGGGACAGGCCGGGAGGGGAAGCGCGCCCGTGATGCCCGTGACGCCCGCGCCGCCTGCGCCCTCCCTCGCCCTCAGACGTGTGCGCGGACGAGGAGGTGCGGGCCAAGCTGCTGGAGCTGAAGCACAAGCAGGACGCGCTCCTGCGCGCCCAGGGCCGACCGCGCTCGCTG